AGAATGTGTATTCTGATGTTTTTGGATGGAACACTCTGCATATGTCTACCATGTCCATTTGTTCACATGTGTGATTCAGTTCTGTTATTTCTTTGCTGATTTCCTGTCTGATTGATCTGTCCCGTGGTGTCAATGGTGTGTTAAGGTCTCCTGTTACAATTGTGTTACTGATAATTTGATTTTTCATTTCTGTTAATACTTGTTTTATACAACTGGGTGCTCTGGAATTTGTTGCATATATATTTAAGATAGTTATCTCTTCCTCTTGAAGTTTTCCCCTAACAAGTATGTGATGACCTTCTTTGTCTCTTCAGATCATTATTGGCTTAAAGTTCACATGGTCTGCAAACTCCTGCTCTTTGGGGGGTTCCTGCTGCATGTAGAATTGTTTTCCATCCTTTGACTTTCAGGCTGTGAGTATCCTTCTGGGTTAGATGGGTTTTTGTAGACAGCATATGGTTAGATTTTGTTTCTTGATCCATTCTGCCAGTCTGCTTCTTTTAACTGGTGCATTGAGACCATTTACATTAATTGTTATAACTGTTATATGTTGGTTTATTGTTGACATGTTATCTTTCTGCTGTTGCATCTTTATCTTTCTGTTCTGTGTAATTATCTGCTTTGCTTAGTGGTTTTTTCCTAAGTGTATCTAAACTGTCTTTCAATATTTTTTGCAGGGATGGCTTGGTGATCATGAAGTTCTTCAGCTGTTCTTTGTCATGGAAGTATCTTATTTCACCATCAATTTTGAAGGATAGTTTTTCAGGGTACATAAGTCTGGGTTGGAAATTATTTTCCTTTAGGATCTAGAATACTTCACTCCATGCTCTTCTTGACTTTATTATTTGTGCTGAGAAGTCTGCTGTGATTCTGATAGGTTTTCCTTTATTAGTGATCTGTCTTTTCTCTCTGACAGCTTTCAATAATCTATTCTTGTGTTGAATTTCTGGGATGGTGATTATTATATGTCTGGGTGTAGTTTGGAGTTCTATATGCTTCACTGAACCTGATGTCAGTTTCCAATCTCATGCTTGGGAAATTTTCAGCTATTACTTCTCTAAATATCCTCTTGACATCCTTTATGTCATCCCCTGATTTTTCATTAATCCCTATTAATCTTATGTTGTTTTTCTTTGCATCATCTTGCAGTTGTTAAATTGTTATTTCCTGATTCTTTGTTGTTTTTAAAGGATCTTTCCTTTCCTGTTCACTAGCTGCAATCTTGTCTTCAAGGTCTGAAATTCTATCTTCACTTTCATTGAGGCAGTTTTTATAGCTTTCAGTGGAGTTTTTGATTTCCTGTTTATCTCCGTGCATCTGCTATATGTATTCTGTTTGTTTCTTACATTGCTCATCTAGGGATTCTATCTTTTTGTTTAGTTCCTCCAATTTTTTAACTGTGTTTTCTTTAGATATGTTCAGCATCTCTTTCATTTCTTTTATCATTTCTTCTTTTACCTGGGTGATTATTTCCAATTTGAATTCCTTTAAAGCTTCCTGGAGTTGCTTGTTTATTTCAGTAGCTATTATGTGTGATATTTGAGGTGTATGGCATATATTTTCTTCTATATACATCACTCCTAAGGTTTCTTGGGATGGGCTGGAGGTTTGAGATTGTAATTTGGTGTTTCATTTTGTCATTTTCCTGTATTTCTGTGTTTCAAGTATTTCAAGTGTTATTCAAAAACTTCCTCAGGGTCTGTTGGAAATCCACTTCTGTGCCCTCAGCTCCTGGGGCCCTGGCACCCAGTTCCCCCAGGCTGCTGGGCCTCTGGAACCGGTGGCGCTCACCTACTTTCTTAGAACTCCACAGTCTCAAACAAACTGTACTCTGGGGAAAGGGGCACCCGCCTGGTTGCTTAGAACTCCACAGTTCTCCATGCACAGCTGGAATGGGGAGCCAGATGCAGGCACCCCAGACCAGCCTAGCTGTTCCTCTGCACCTAGCTGTTCCACTGCACCCAGATGGTGCAAGGGTCCCAGACAAGCTGGGCTCCAGGGAAAGTGTGTGCCTGCCTGTTTGCTTAGAACCCCACAGTTCTCCAAGCACAGCCAGAATGGGGAGCCAGATCAGATGTTAATTTCTTTAACTGATAGCTGATCTGCATTGTTCTTTCTAGAGAGAGAGAGAAACAGAGACAGACAGAGACAGAGACAGAGACAGAGACAGACATAGAGAAGAGACAGAGAGACACAGACACAGAGAAACAGACATAAAAAATATGGCGCAGGGAAAGAGGCATAGAGGAAGAGGGGGAAGGGGAAAGACAGACAGAAATGAGGAGAGGAGAGAAAGGAGAGGACAGAAGACAAAGGAAGAGAGAGAGAGAAAAAAAGAAAACACAACAAAAGAAAAGGAAAAGTTTGACCAATTTTACAACTGCAACATCAATTTGCTTCCTAAGTTGAGCCATCTTTGAAATAATTTTTGAAGAATTAAGTTTAGTAACTATTTTCATTAATTATTTCTGCTGAATTGTTCAATCCCCAAATATTTTGGTAACCTAAGAAATTCATATCATATTGTTTTGTAACACTCACCTAAAAATGAGATTTTTCTAAGTAATCAGTGTGAATTTAAATATACTTTTTACGTATTTCACAATTTTGCATAATATTTAAAAGTTCTCTAGCTTTCATAAATTGTTCCTTTTTTTTTTTTTTTTTTTTTTTTTTGTACCAGGAATCAAACCCATGACCTCCTGCTTAGCAGGCTTGCGTCCTGCAGCTGAGCTCTATCTCCAACCATTCTTCTGTGTTTTGATTTTGAAAGTAAAGTCAGATTTGTCAACATGATATCTGTGAGGTTCTTGAACATAAAGTAATGATGCTAACTAAAATAATTAAAATTTGTTATTCTTGAATATTCTCACAAATTCTGACAAATAAGTTTGTCAGAAAATATTGTGAAAAAGAAAACAATTAGAAACATAATTCTCATACAATATGCAGTAGCAACACCAGCATGTGTCAGTATTACAGACTTGTTTTGAATCGTGAAAGAGATCAAGGAATAGTTATTGAACTTTCATTAAGATTTTCAAAGCTAGGCATGATGGCTCATGCTTATAATTCCAGCATTTGGGAGTCTGAGGCAGAGGATCACTAAATTCGAGGCCAACCTGGACTACAAAGTGAGTTCAAGGCCACCCTAAACTGCATAATGAAACACTGTCTCACCAAAAAAAAAAAAAATTTGCAGCAACGAATTAAATGTCCAGAAGACATAGTTTTATAGAAGCTCAGAATGGGACAGAGTAAAGGACCTAGTCACTCTTCTACTCTTTAAATCATTGCTTGATTACAGAAATTTTTGTAGACACCACTTTTGGAATATATAGAAATCAGTCAGGAATTTCCATGCAATTTTTCAATGTCACAAACAATATTCAAGTTTTTAAAAATTTTGGTGACAATATGCCTACACATAACACAGCTAAGGTAATACATCCTAAAATACTTTATATGCATTGTTACTTTATTCCCCAATTTCCTCAGAAATTAAATACCAATTGCTTCCCTGAATAGTAGATCTTCACAGCAAGCCTAAAAGGCTTGCCAGCATGTTTACTGTCCTCTGATTTTTCAAGAAAAAATATCCAGAACATACATGTCTGGAAGTACTTTTGTCAGAACTCAATAGGATTTAGTACTAAAACAAATACATAAATCCTTTGCAGTGAGTCAGTATGCCTGGGCAAGGCTCAAATAGTCTTTATCCCACATTTTCTTATTATCTCTGCATGGAAAGACTCAGCATCCTAAGATCCTAAACGCTAGCCCTCAAACTTCCATAACACCTCATACAGGAAGTATAAACCCACCATGCATTGTACACTGTGCATTGGAGTTTTCTGGGGATCTGGGTTCTTGGCCATTGTATATCTTGTACAGAATTCTTAGGAACACTTTGAAAACATACACACTCTGCTTAGGTTCTCACACACAAATCTTTGGTGCAGTATTTTCAGTCATGGTTTCAGTGAGGTTTCTTCCTGACCCACCTGACAGTCCTGGGAGTGTTTTCTTCCTAATGTTGAGTAGCTCACAAGGCAACCAAGCTGGGGATGCAGCTACACTGTGAGCCATTAGTGCTTTTGTGTTCAATTTCCCTCTTTTTTCTATAAACATTTTATAGTTTTTGAATTCTGTTATAAAGAAGTTTAAACTTGTTATATCTCTAAAAAGTTGTACATTATATTAGTATAAAATGTGATGTTTTTATCACGTGTAGAACTCTGTTTTTAAGATCTTCTTTGTCTCATGGTAATATAAACAACTCAGCTTATTCACGTGTATGGTTCACATGGCACACGTCCTATCTCATCTGACTTTCAGTCTATTTGTCTCTTCATATTTTAAAAGCATTTCCTGTACACAGAACATATCTGGGTCTTGTTTTATACCCAGCCTGACAATCTCTGCCCCTTAATATACACACTAATGTGATTGGATTTATCTTATCACAGTCTCTATTTGTATAGTCTCTGTATCTTCTTATGTTTCTCTTTAGAAGAATAGAATAATCTTTAGTACTACATTTATTTTCTCTCAGCAGTTTATATAACATTTTCATTTTCAATTCACACTGTGCTTCTCACTTTTCATCTTACACTTCTCATCTTAAAGTGTACTAAATTTAGAAAGATGTAATTCCAGGTACTTGAGCTTGTTTTTTTATTATTTTTATTATTCTTATTTTGGTCAATGTATTTGTACGTATGCTACAAATTCAAATTTAAAATGTTACTACTTTGACACTTAAACAAGTCCTGAGGGAATAAATCAGAACCTTTTCCATTTTTATTCATTTTGGATGACTTTTAGTGCCTGTGAGCTGAATTACTGTATAGTATACTTTCAGCTTGAATAGACTTTACTATTTTATTTAAGTATTACATTCTGTTTTCATTTACCTGCAATTATCTTCACCATAGTGTCCTTTTTTAATTTTAAATTTTTATTAGTACATGTTTTCAGTGCATAAGATCACACTCACCTGCCTTCTGGTGCTTTCCACAGGTAGTGTTCTTACACTGACTGTATAGAAAAAGGAGGAAGAGTAAACCTGCCCCATGTATGCCTCAGCCCAGGCCTTGTGCCTTGTCTGTATTGTGAATGGGAAAACATAAGGCAAAAAGAAAAAAAAAAAAAAGATCACACTTGCCATGGGATGTTGGCACGTGATATAACACATCTTCGTCCTTGTACTTCTCTTTCACTACCCTCCCAGCAGCACACAGTCCCCTTTCATTTTGTAAAAATGTATCTTCGTGTTTCTTCCCTCTTATCTATCTTGTGTTTGCTTTATATTTTATACACTTTGAGTTTCTCATATAAAAGAAATCACGTGATATTTACAGATATGTTGCTGTAGGCAGTGGTACCTCGGTTCATGAGCTTAATCCCTTCTAAGATTCTAGCTGCCAACCGAGTTGAACAAAAACCAAATCAGATTCAGTTCCTATGTCCAGTGTTAGCCTTATCGGGAAATTTTATTCAGTTCTGGTGTAGTTTGGTTTGTGATCAAAATCAGGAAGGATTAAGTTTGTGAACAAAAGTACTGTATACTATTTGGAGTTACTAGGGTTTTCCTTTCTGCACTTTGAAAGTAGCTCTAGTCTACTTGAGTTACCATTATTTCTAATAAAGTACTCATAATTTGTAAAATCATTCCTCCCTATATAATGTCTTTTTGTTTTTCATTTTTTTGATACTTGGATTATCAGCAGTTAGACTATGATGCACTCAAGTACAGACTTTTAAAATTTATCTTGCCTGGAAATTAATATAATTCTTAGAAGTGTAAATTGATTTTTTTGAGACATGGTCTTGCTGTGTAGTTTAGGCTGGACTTGAATTCACTATGCAACCAGGCTGGCCTCAAACTCATGACAATTCTTCTGTCTCAGTCTCCTGAGTGCTGGGATTCCAGGAGTGCACCATCACATCAAATTCATAAATTGATTTTGCAATGTAACACAAATCTTATTTTAATGTCTATCTCCGACATTCCCCTTCTAAATTTTTGATTACATATACATTGTGCTATTCAGTATTTGCTTTCTAAAATTATTATTATTATTTAGAGAAAAACAAAATAGAAAATGGGCAGAAATAGTACATACTTTCAAAGAAAAGAAATAAACAGTAATAAATCACTAGTTGATGTATACATATTGTCCCCCCACAAATAGTTGTTCAAGATACAAAAGTGGAACATATAATTGGGAATTCAACTAGGGAGACTGCAAACAGTTCTGTTCAACTATCCAACAAAAATTAAGTAATATGGGTATCAATCCCATACACCTAGACATGTACACATTTATCCATATCTTCATTTATGTTGAGACCTAACAAAACTTGTTAGATTAAAATCCTTCTGAACAAAGATTAATAATATTGCTGGATTTCACATCATAACACTCCAGAATCAGCACTGGGTACTGCAGTGCCCCTTTCTTTCCTTCAAAATATTTGTTCATTTCTTCATATGTCATAAGATCAGTTCTCATAAACTGTTTATAAGTTTTATGCAAGCATGAGTCTTAACATGTATTTCCATCCTTTGTATATTGGAGGAAGAAACAGAACAAAGCAGTACAGAACTAAACATATTCCTATAGACACATAAAACTAAAAACACATATAAAACTGCTGTATAAGGAGTTCTACCATGGTCACTGTGCTGTTTCTTGTTATTATCAACAGAATTGGCTATATCATCAGATAAAGTATAATTGAACATATCAGTACATAACAGAATTAACAGAAATACAACTTTGTAGATAGTGTAGAGCTACAAAACAGGTAGTAATCAAGTCAAAATGGATACCATGGTGAATCATTGTCATTTTCAGTATAGTTGTCTATACTCAACTTGATAACCAGAAACCTAACAGTTTTGAATAAAATCTGTGAATAATAAGCAGCAATCAAACAAGTCAGATTTAACTAAGATCAGTCATGATACAACAGTATAAGTCATACAGGGATCCTGATTGAGTTAATAGGAAATTAAAGATGACCACCATGCTATGTCCTGATAGCATTTTCAGGACAGCTGTCTGTGCACTCAGATCCAGTGCTTGTATATAAACCAGGACAGAACAAGGTTCCAACAAAGCAGAGTGGTGCGAATAATAAGGGTTTTAATTCCTGATACACTATTAGCTATATCTTCTGGGTTTTTTTGAAGACTATTCCTCCACTTTACTCTGCTAGAATGAACTATGTATTTTTGGATCTCCCCAACATTCACGGTTTTACATTGCAGGGGCAACCTGCTATTTACCTAAGCTTTTCTGAACTTTCTCACTCCTGGGCTTGATCTCTAGTTGTATTTCTTTACCAACTAAAGCCTGTCTTTCCAACCTATCCATAAATACTGGTCCAGCTGCCCCTATTACTCTGGTTTCCTATCACATAGAGTTCTCATATCATATGATAAAGTTCCCTATCATATGTTTTCTCATATTTGATTTTCGGTCCATATACCCTTTTCAGGTTAATTATATTTCCTATAAAGAGCTTCTTGGTGACCCTATCTCTTGATCCACTCTGCCTGCGATTCTCTCTTTTTTCCCTTAAGTTAGTGTATCTAGGCCATCTATATTAGAAATTATATTCAACCTTCTTTGCTTCATTTCTGTTGTGCTCTTTTTCTGTCATTAGTTGTTGTTTGTCTTCTTCATTCTGTTTTCTGCTTCATTCATTGTGGCCTCTCTGCCACTGTTTCTGGAATCCTGGTACTTTTCTCTCTCTTTAGATTGTCCTGCAGTATTCTCTGTAGAGTTGGATTGGTGGTTGCGAATTCACCCGGTTCATCTTTGTCTTGGAAGCATCTTGCTTCTCCATTAATTTCTAGAGGCAATTTATCAGGGTATATCAGTCTGGGCTGGAGGTTATTTTCTTTCAGGACTTGGAATATTTCGCTCCAGGCTCTTCTTGACTTGATGGTTTGTGTCGAGAAGTCTGCCATTATTCTGATGGGCCTTCCTCTATAGGTTATCTGGTTCTTGTCTCTGACAGCTTTTCACATTCTGTTCTTATATTGGATTTCTGGAATCTTGATTATTATATGCCTTGGTGTAGTTCTGTTTTGATCGTAGGTGTTTGGAGTTCTGTATGCCTCATATATCTGAGCATCTTTCCCTTTTCCTATGTTTGGGAAGTTTTCCTTAATTATTTCTGTGAATAGCCTTTGCAGTTCCTTGTTTGTACCCCTGCTTCTTCATTCACATTCTTTATTCTTAAGTTGTAGGTCCTCTTGTCATCTTCTAGCCTTTGTATTATTACTGCTTGGTTCCTTGTTATTTTTAAGAAGTTTTTCCTTTCATGTTCCCACTTTACAAACCTGTCCTCCAGTCTAAATAGTCTATCCTTAGTTTCTTTCAAGCTGTTATGCCAGCTTTCAATAGAGTTTTTAGTTTCTGGTAATTTCTTTGAACCTGCTTCATGTATTCTATGTTTTCTCTATTTTCTCCACCAAAAAATTCTCCCCCCTTTTTTTTCTTCCATTCTACCATCTGTTTTTTCTAGGGAGTTGCTTAGCATTTCTTTAACTATTCTACTTATATCTTGTTTTACTTGGTTAAATACTTCACTTTTGAACTCATCTATGAGGCTCTGGAGATATTGCTTTATGTCTATTGGTGCCATGCTTGATATTGCATGTTTTCTGTCCTCATTCTCCTTTGCATGTACCTTTCCTGGATCAGTGTTCTCAGGATTGGGGACTAAGGACCCTTTCTTGTTGCCTCCTCTTCTCATATTTTTTGTTCCTTCTATAAAGGGATATATAGGAGGCCCAGTTTCTTTCTTTGTCAGTTTCAGTTTGTCTGAAGCATGCTGACTAGGTGGTCCCACCCACTGCAGTGTACTAGGAGGTACAGACCTGGGCAGCCTATGTTGAGCCCACCCCTCCAGGTCGACCTACTGAAGGCTTCATTGCATTAGGGTCCACAGCCAGGCACAGGGACTTGGTTTGGGCTAGCCTATTGGGCCTCAGTCCATGGCATCATCCAGGTCAAGCGCTCCCCACCAATCCTGCTTGAGAGGGGAATATGTGACTGAAGTCACTGCAGCACCCTGTTCTGGCCAGTCTGCCTGGTCCCAGAATGTCCTCTGTTGGAGCCTCTTTGTCTATGGAAGGGTCTTTATTCCCCTAACTCACCTCAGGTCGGTGCAGGGTTCCCCACTAGTTCTGTGCTCAATTTGGTTCACCAATTTCCACTTTCAGAGCATTTGAAACTAGCAGGCTCTCCTGGCTGCACCAATTCAGGCACAGCAGCAGCAGCAAGTTCAATCCACAAGTTCTAGCAGTGGCACCAAGACTTTAGCTGTTCCAATTGTAGCACCAGCATTGCATTTGAGATTGGTTTATCTCAGCCTAGTTCGTTCCTGGGTTGGCAGGGTATATCTCTCTCTGCTTATGACTCCCCACACCACACCATTCCTGGAATCTAAGCTGGCTATCTCAGAGAGTCTCTGTGGCTGCTCTTCTGTATCTGCCATCTTTTCTCGATCACCGCTATTCAGTATTTTCAATGACATCAAAGACTAGGTTCCTTTCTATTCAATCTGCTTCCTCTTTGTGCTCACATTAGAAAATCTCATGACTGTGTTGAGGAGACATCTAGACTCCTATTTTTATGGTCTCCTTACTCCAAACTTCAGACAAAAAATGAGAACAGCCTATAAAATGGTGAAAAAATAAAATGTGATACACATAAAATCTCAGCCTTAAAATATAATGAAATCCTGTTATTTCTTACAACATAGATGAACTGAAGATCCTTATATCAAGTAAGAAAAAAATTTCATGATCTCATTCTTTTGTGGAATCTAAAAAGTCTGTGTCACAGAACTTGAAAGTAGAATAGGTTTAACATAGGCCAGAGACAGGGGCAGAGATGAAACCAATGTGTACTGAGTCACAGATAGATAGACAAAACAATTTTGGGGGCTCTATTGCTCAGTAGAGTGACTCTAGAAAACTAGTCCCATAGTATTTTAAGAAGCCATAAGAAATTATTTAAAACATTTTTATAACAAATAATTGATGAGTAGCTGACAAGATAAATTTGTTTAACCTGACTTCAACATTATATGTGTACATGTATTAAGT